TTATTATTATTATTATTATTATTATTATTATTATTATTATTATTATTTGTACTTAGGGGTGATGCCTACCTGTGTGGTTGAAAGTAGAACGCTTCTCCAGGAGTGTAAGTATATGTATGTATGTATGTATGTATGTATGTATGTATATATATATGTATATAAGTATATAGGTATATAGGTATACATACACACACACACACACATACACATATATACACATACACATACACATATATATACCCATATCTACATGTAAAACTGTGTATATAGAAAACAGTATCTAATGGTCCCCAACAAGGGAAACCCCCAAGCGCTCCAAGCAAGAAATATTCTGGATCCCTGGTCCCCAACAAGGGAAACCAGCTATGCAGGGCCTGGATGGATCCTTTCCTGTCAAAAATGTCCCGCTGTTTGAAATGGCACTTGTGGCTTCACTCCAATGTAATGATCCAAAAGCAATTGCAAAAGGAAAAAATTCCTGGTTAAGGACTAGCCTGCTTATCCAACGCCAGCGAGATAAAACAGAAATAATGCCAGGGAACTGGAGTGGGAAGGTACTTGCCCCGGTCCCCAATAAGGGAAACCAGCGGGGAATGTGGTGCCTGTAATATTTAGGCGCGAACTTGAAGCCAGCCGTTAAAAATGGCGGGAAGGCAGAATCTCCGATGTTAATTGCCTGAGCAGTTTAACGGGCCGCTGCTGCTGACTCTCTAAATTGTCAGATAAATGATCCTGTCAGTCGAAAGGGCAAGGAGAAGTGAGCCGCGGCTGCGAGCGCTCTGCCAAGCTCGCAGAGATAAGATGATCGGGAGATTAGATAAGCTAATTGCCTGAAGCGGCTGTCTCAGGCTGCCTGCGGAGTGGCAGGCTCCACCAGCCACAAAGAACTACTCTCAAACTGATCGGGGGGATGACCTAATAGAGCCACAAGCCTTGAAATCACCAAATTAATTGGGGAAAAACTTACAAGCCGAATTAACCCAAGAGCAAACCTGAATTTTGACTAGCTGAATCAGAAAACCGTTCCAGTCAGGGAGTGCACAACCTCTTACCATGAAGGCTGAGGTAAAACTGGGGGACGCTGGGGAGGTGTCCCATGGAGGAGGAGGAGCATCCCGGAGTTTTAAGCCCAGCCTTTCCAGAAGAGACTGAAGCACCTCCCACTTCTGGATGCTCTAACAGCTCATGGGAGAACTTTTTTTTTCCATTTTCGTTTCAAAATAAGATGTATTTACACATTGAGTGACAGTCCTTTGATTCTCTATTAATTACTAACATGAAAGAAAAAGCATAAAATCTGTGCTATGAAGGACATAAGGTCGTAGGCTTTCAGAGGTATCACCGCTTCCATAAAGATATGGACATCTGAAACTGGGTTTTGGGAACCAGGCTCCATGTTTACAGCAAGGGTGGGTGGAGGGTTCGAGTCCTCTGGCACTTCAGGGACATCCGTCATGGCTGAAGCAGTTGCCATGTTTCAAATTGGTAAAAGGTGACTTTTGTTGTTCTAGGGTGCACTGCAAGCAGGTAGCAGAAAGTAGAATTGCTGCTGAATTTAATACTTGAGCACGTAGGTGGCACTGCAGAGTTTGGGCGATGCTAGCACAGCACATGGTATGGCAGTTTCTAGGGTGCGATGTGTGCTTGCTATACAAGGGTGCACTAAAGTCTGAAGACTTGGAGGGCTAAATGCAGAAATATCCATAGCAAAGTGTGAAGACTTGGAATGCAGAAATATGCCTGTTAGTGTCGCTTGCTCCACAAGGTGGCAGTAGAGGTTGCATAGCGCAGAATGGCTAAACACAGAAATATGCATGGAAGATGCTGTTGCTACACCCATGTTAGGTTGCAGTTAATCCTAGAACCTTGAATTAAATTGATTAAATTGTCCACAATAATTGCAAAAAGGGATCATCATTGGATAAACACTCTGGTCAAATTTGAGAAACTGTGCAAAAAAAAATTGAACTCTGGGAAATTTTTCCTTGAGCCCCAAATGGTGCTGTGGGCTGCTTTGCTTGAGTCTGTGGGGTGGGGGGGTGAACTCCAGAGGAATTTATTGTTTCCTTGCTGAAAGAAAAACCAATGAATCGAATACAACACTCCAAAGGTTTGCTTGCAGTGTTATATGTTTTTTTAATTGTTTAATAAAGATAGGGGAGCATGAAGAAATTTTAAGGTTTTGAGAAGAAAGAGAAATTGTTCCTTTTAAAAACGTTGCTAGGATTAGCCTTCTTTGCTTTGAAGATGGTCTGTCAGTAATGAATTATGACCCCCAATAAAACGGCCAGAGTAGTTGTAAAAATAGCTGGAGAGGCTTCTCTTATTGCCTCTGAGCTAGAAAAATGCAAAGCCTTTCAGTTGAAATGAGCAGGGCAAAGTTAGTTTTCCTTTCTAGAAATGCCAGCAAGATTTCAGAAACTTTCTCATTGCGTTTGGAAAGGATTTGTAATTGGATGAATACAAGGATGGATGAGAGTTACTTGGCCCCTCCCTTTCTTTTACAAATTAGTTCTTTCTGAGTTAGGAGTTGTAATTTGAGACACAGCACTTCTTTCACTGAAGAGAAAAAGAGAGGGAATTTGCCCCTTCCTGGCTTGAAAGGAAGACAAAGGAATCCTGCCTCAGTAAAGGAAGAGAAAAAAAAAGGATTGAAGGAGGCAAATTTGATTGCCTTTGAAAGCCAAAGCATAGGATATTTGAAAAGTCTTTGCGTAAAAGGGGAAGGAGGGGGGGGCTCCCTGCAGTTCAAACTGAGGCATAGAGCTTAGCATTCCACATTCACTCCTGGCTTCAACATTACTTTGCTTTATCACAAATCCAAATTAACTGTCTTTATACAGATGGGCTTCAGGACTTCAAATAACCATCTTTTTACTATTCTGTATCCTGTACAGATGCAGATAGATAAACTTCACAAAACATCCATAACACTTTTATTGGTTCATCAGGTATCCTCATAGCTCACATTTGTAATGAAGTTCTTCTTTAATGACCAATCCTTTGCATATCTGTCTTGTAGGTAAAAAGATGGTTTATCTCCTACCCTTTTCCTCCCATCTTGTAACGATACAAGTAGAACAGTTACCATGAGTCCATGAGTTCAGTTAAGAGTGAGGAAAACTCCTCCAACCCATCGAAGGTCAATTTAGTGACCAATTAGGATTACAAATGTGGTCACATGACATGGACTACATTTCCCAGGATACCTTAACTACATTTACCATGATGCATTCCCTTAAAGAACAGCTCACAATTGCTACCTAACTATCCAATTCCCATACACTGGCTGGACAGCACAATTCTAGGTGTTTTTTTTTAAATGAACTTTCTAGCAGGAAGATAAAGACACACTGGTATTAGTGTGCAATGATAATACACAGACATATTTATGTGTATATATGTGTGTGCATGTGTGTATGTGTACATCTGCAAACAGACTACCTGTCCTAATATTAGAATCTGCAAACAGACAACTTGTCCTAATATTAGAATCTGCAAACGGACTACCTGTCCTAATATTAGAATTATAACTTGTCTTATAATTCACCAAAACAGCATACAGAGAAAATAAAAGTAATAATACCTCCCATTTACTGAGGCATTTTATTTTTTATTGTCTATTGTGTTAGTGCAATCAACTTTAATACAATAAAAATAATGGAAAATATTGGTTAATAGTGATAATTACTACTATTATTTACAACCAATTTTTTTTTTTTTTGCAAAATTCAGACTTTTCCATGACAGTTTGACATTCGTACAGATGCATTTAACATTACGTGATGTAATATCGATGCTTTCATACTTCCATGGAACTCCCATTCTATTTATAATGCTATATTTCCAAGGATTATCAGGTAATGTTAAAGCATTTAAAGATTGTTTTTAAGTCTGAGATATTTCTGATCTGAATCACACTATCTATATGAATATATTATCTGGGTTTAAGACATAAATGAATAAAAGACCAATAAATTGGAAGGAACCTTGGAGGTTTTCTATCCTTTGCCCAAGCAGGAGATCTGATACGATCCCAGAAGATAGTTGTCCAGTTTCTTCTTAAAATCCTCCAGTGATGGAGCACCCATAATCTCTGAAGACAAGCCATTCCATTGATTAATTGTTCTCACTGTCAGGAAATTTCTCCTTAGTTCTCTTTTGATACTTTCCTTGAGTAGTATCCTTGATTATAACATAAGTTCTTGTTGGGAAACTACTTTAGAAGGTTTGGTTTTCTTTTGCTACCACCAATTAAATATTTTATTTAGTGGTTTACTCAAATTACATTCTCTACATCCAAGATTACTAAGATTTCTTGTTGTTTGGCAAGTTGTGGCTGAAAGCAGAGCCACCATCGCCCCTAGATTTATTCCACAACAAGCAGAAAACAGATCCCCAGATATCCAGTTACAAACCTTGCATACAATATGCCAGATTTTCAAGGCTTGGAATTGTTTAGACTATGACAATGGTAGCAGTTCCTGGGAGACATCATACGTCCCATTGATGCAAAAATTCTGTATTGTTAGACTACGCATACGTTCATGAAAAAATGTTTGGTGATGCAAGGGAAACTGTAACAAAGATCTCTTTTCAAAGTGTTAAAAGCGATTGTGTCTTTTTCATGAGTTGCTTTGGAAACTGTCCGTACTATCTCCAAAAGCATCTGTTTTTAACAATTCAAAAAGGCATGTCATGCACATCTTCTGAAGAATCCACTTTAAATAATCCTATTCAATTCTGCCATTTTCAGAAGTTCCTCACTTCATTTCCCTTTTTGGTTTCATTCTAAGGGGTAAAGTTTATAGGTTTTTTTCCTACCACACACAAATGGATTATTTGTGTTTTTTGTTGTTATTATCTGAGCTTATCTAATAGAGAAGCACAGGTATCATATACACAACCGCAATCGAGCCCAAATTTTTTGTTGCTAAGCAAGGCAGTTGTTAAGGCAGTTGTTAAGTCCTCCCATTTTATGACCTTTCTTGCCACAGTTGTTAAATGAATCACCACAGTTGTTAAGTTAGTAACGTAGTTGTTAAGTGAATCTGGCTTCCTCATTAACTTTGCTTGTCAGAAACTCACAAAAGCTGATCACGTGGCCCCAGGCATGCTGAAACTATCATAAATATGAGTCAGTTGCATCCAAAGCATCCAAATTTTGATAAGGAAACCATGGGGATGCTGCAACAGTTATAAGTGTGAAAAATGGTCATAAGTCACTTTTTTCAGTGCCATTGTAACTTCGAACAGTCACTAAACAAATGATTATAAGTCAAAGACTATCAGTACCCTTGACTGAAGAACGGTACATTCCTATCTAGGATGATCACTGACCAGACCTCTTTTTGTCATAGAAACCTTAATATTACAGCCCATCTATGTGAAAGGCTTATTGTATTAGTGTTTTGTTTCTTACTATATGGACTGCTGAAAATTTATCTGGAGTCAGGTAGTGCCAAAGTCAAATTAAATACATAAAATGTCATCATAACACATGCTGAAAAGCAGTCCATAGCTTATTTAATGTAGTAAATGTTTTCTAGTAATTCAGTGAAGAAACATTTTGAATCATGTTCTATGCAAACTTTATGTAAAATTCCTTGAATAAACTTGTACTGAACTGAATTAAATATTTTGCCCTGCCTTTTGGCTTATTTTCTATTTTTCAGTTTTAAAAACTTTGTTTAGTGCTCTGTGTTCTCTTGCTCTTAAATTAATAGTGATTAATTTAAATGTATGAGCAAAACCAGGATACAAATCCCATAAATGTTTGAATTAATTTAAAGTGCTAATACATCCGCTGCAATATGTGGATCTTGATTTACAATTTTCAGTGCATGGTTTGTAACTGATTCTTAATTCTATACCATACAGTATCAACCTTTATTCCTCTGGAAGTCAAAACTACTTATAGTATGCTAAGTGCCAGACCAAAAATATCCCAGAGGAATTTTTGCAGAATAAAATGGTAAGCTGGTTTTTCCATTAATGGACAGTTTCTAGAGGCCAAGCAGGGGACCAAATACCTGCCACTATAATTACACGTATCTTGTATCTCCGGTACTGAATATGTTACAAAATATTTCCGCTCAAACAACAGATGGTACTGAAATCAGATATGTCTTCCTTTGTACACTAATTGGTCTTCTAAGACTAGGAAAGTTGGGCCAGACCCATTAAGTAGGGATAGGTCTCCTAAGGACCTGAAACTTAAGGAGTGCACAGATGTTTGTCCCCATTTAAGAAAAAAAAAATCTGATAAAAGAAAGGGTAGGTTTAAAAGGAAGTTTAAAGATCTGTTCAGCTAACTGACTTGACATTTTTAAAGACAAATATATCACCCATGCAAAAGTAAATTAGTTAACTGGTAGGTTGAGTCAATTTAATGTATATGAAAGCATTGGAAATACTGCATGCAATACTGCCAATTTGTAAGTTAAGTTCATTTTAAGAGTTTGGCTTCCTAAGTCATACAAGTATTTCTGTTCTTTCCAAATCTGGATATTCATGCAAGATTGTTTTCTTTTAAACCCTCTGACTAATATATATGAGCACCTCCGATAATTTCATCAGGCTTGGTTATCTAATGAAAGAAAAACTGTATTCTGTATGTGCTAAAATCACTTTTTTTTCCCACTATGGGCTCGTATTTGCTCTGTTAGGTGATGAACCAAAGCTTCCAATACAAAATCAGATGTGTATATAAGAAGTCTTTGCTCAGTACAAAGCATATGTTGATAATACTGTGGCTAGAACTGAAAGACTTGTTTTAAGTGTGCCCAATATCACAAAGTATTCCAAAATTTCTTCTGAGTTTTAAAACGTATGGAAAAAAGAATATTGGCTAAGAAAAACAAAATGAGTACTATTTCAAGATTCATGGAACAGAGTATGCAATTCTTGGTCTATAAATCTAAATAGATATAAAAACCAATCAGTCAATTAGGGACATCTATTACCACTCTTACTGGGATATTAGCTGGAGACATAATTCAGTTTGCTTTACTTGATTATAATCCTCAATTTTACACATCTAAAGACATAGTTACATCTAGATATTATTTCCCTCTCTGTTTTTGTTCTAACGTTTAAAGCAAAGAAACCCAAAAAGCAAGCTTTTGCAAATAAATCAAGGCACTGGCCAAAGCAAACTATGCTAACTACATTTTAATGAGTTGGTCATTATATTTTCCAAATTAGGCATGTGTAATAGGAGCACTAAAAAGACCCATAACTGTCACACACAATGACAGCATTTGTCTCAATGTGTTATCACCAAGGCATAATAATGCAAAACTAACATATTTTTGAACTGCAGATAAATATTGATTGCATGGAAGCATACAATGACCTATGAATGAGTTTATAATATAATTACACAGGCAGCATCTTGATATAACTGAATTTACCACAAGCTAACAGAAATTTTGCAAGAACAGAATGCTCTTTAACTACTAATAGTATCTTGAAAATGTAAATTTCTAATGCCTTTTAATGTACAATTTAATTCAGGAAATTATCCCTAAAAAAAGGGAGTGAGAAACTTCCTTTCTTAGGCCAGGCACCATTGTGCCAACCAATAAGGAATGTGCCATATTTATTCAATAGATAAGGTATTACAAATATATAAAGTCATCCCCACACTCTAGATCAGGGGTGCCAAATTCACAGCCCACAGGCCAGATGCATCACATGTGGCCACCCCCACTGTCATTTTAGCAAAGGGGAAAAAGTTGCAATATATCACATGATGACAACGTGATGCCATCAGTCTGATACCCCTGCTCTAGATGTTTTCTTGAAAATATATTTTCTAGAAAATGTAACAAAAAGCCTTTCTGTAACCTAAACGCTTTTTTAAAAAAACCCACCAGAGCTTCCTTTAATTTACCTCAGACATTTTAATAATTGCATTTGGAGTATGTGTAAAAAAGGGAATTAAAACAAGCATATTTTCACATTATAGTATGCACATTCTCTCTCTCTCTCCCTCCCCCATACACACAGAGAAATAAATGTGGGTTTTGACATCAGGATATTTCAACAGGTAATACTAACAGAAATAATAGCAATGCAGC